CACTACGGCGACCTGCGTGAATACTGGCTTCCGCTTATACGTCGCAAGCCGGACAGCTTCCCAGAAGATATGACCAGCATTGTCAGCTGGTTAATGGACTCGGAAGAGACCAATTGGTCACAACAGCAAAAGCAGAACTGGTTTGGTCTACACAATAATTAATTGCACTAATGTCATTTAAATGAACATGGCCTGTCGAACAGTTCACATTATATTCAAGTGTACATCAGAAGGTTTTTAAAGTTCATAATTCTTATGTACTTTTGATAATGGTTCGTATTAAAAATCAAATTGTCAACTAATTGCCTTTGTGTGAATAACTTGATAGGATGACTATCAGTATTTATTCAATTCTATGACATAATACAGAACTGGTGCATTGCAAATCAAAAAGTGAAAGAAAACACAGAATATCAAACCTTCCGTATTATACTATGATAGGATTGAATAAGTATTCATAGTATCAGGAAGTTATATTATGAGCTTTCAAAACTGGAGATCAAAAGCAGTAGCAATCACTCCAGTCCACCCCAGCTTTATAGATCAGTATCTACCTCACTTTTTCAATACGGCTCAAACTAAAGGCATATCGGCAATAAAAATTTAGTTTGTTCGTCATATTTGAAGGGACTTTTGAAATGTTGTGAAAAACTATTATATCCGCAAACATGCTTTTGACGTCACTATGGCTATAAGGATTAATGAATTAAAGATGGCCATTTAACATTTTTCTGTGATCAAAATACTAAATTGAAGAAATATTAAAATGCGGCAATCCCGTACAAACAAGTTTAGTTAATGTGTATAGTAATTTTAAAAGTCCTATCATGAGACAAACTTTTTCCATTGCCATTTACCAAATATTATTAAGGGATTTAAAAAGTGAGGAATTTCGCATTCCAGAGTATTGCCGTATTGACAAATTGCTGTAAATTAAACGCAAAAAATACTTAGTAAATGTGCTAGCCTACCTGTTGAACAATTTACATTCCGTCAGCTCTGCTGTGTCGTCGATAAAACAACATGATTTACCATTTACTTTGCTCGTATTTATGCCGTGATGTACCATCGATGTCTCTGTCACCATGTGCTTAAGTCACTGACCTCGGAATTGCAACTGGACATCATCTATGTCACTGATCTCAGAATGCAACTGAAGAAAGCTGCGCTGTTAGGGACTGGTCATAAAGTAAAAGGGGGCGGGGCGGGGGATGTGCTAATTTTTCGATTTAAAGTACCCCAATACATGTAATACAGTACTGTAGAATTTGAAGTGTGGTGAATGATAATATTATACCACACACATTTTAATTACTACATCGTCACACCCATTCTCGTACCCAGAGCTTTTCTTACGCGCGGTACGACGAGGGGCTCTGGCCAAATCCATAACCGGATACCATAAAAACATGGTAAGAAAACAATGTCTGGTGTTAGAACTAGCCAATCAGATGCCAGTTCGGAATATGGATTTGGCCAGAGCCCTTCGTCGCACCGCGCTTACGAAGGGCTCTGGGTACGAGAATGCGTCACACCATGTTGCCTTGTTGGGACTGGATTACATTTGGGAGACTGTGAAATTGCAGTAATTGTGTCACTGTTTATAAGGTTAATTTCTTGTTGGAAAACTCCTCAAAATGTGGGAAATAGTTTATCTGAGCTTCAAGAAATCCACAATTTTCTGGGGTATGCCCCCAGACCCCTTTAGAAGCTTGCACCTTGGGTGGTCGACTCGATTGTTATTATATATATATACACTGGTAACTGCAGTGATACAGACTTGCCGACTGGAACTTCTCCAGGTTCCCCGCTAAATATTATGTCCTCTCCAGTTACACATCCTTCAAAGAAGCCCTGAATTTTAATTCCACCATTTGAATAGCTATTGAGTATTGCAACACAGAATTATTTGGCAACAGAAAATAGAACGCTAGTATCTTTCGCGTTTCTGAAAGGGTGGGTCATAATTTTTCAGCACCAATCCTTTTACTTTCTCAAATTTAACCTGCTATTTGTTTGTGGATTTCTGCACGCCCGTTTATTACCAAACTTCAGAGAAGTAAACTCCCATCGATCCGAACAAGATCTCTGAAGAAATTTTTTTAAATTTATAGACAAGCTGTCAGACTGGTTCAGCTTTGAATTTTCGGCTAACACAGCTTTCAACAACCGCCTGCAATACTCGACTGAACAATAATATTAGCCCGAGGATCAGTCTCGGTTTTCGCTTCCTTAATTTTAAAATTCGGGCGGGCGGGTATAGTAATACAGGATTATTAATTTTTCGTGCAAACATAAACATGCATAAACACGTATAAACGTGTACAAACATGTATAAGCATGTTTATACATGCACGAACATGCATAAACGCATAAACACGTTATTGTTTAATTTACTTGACGAGTGTGCCAAACTTCGTTTGTGATACGACACATATTTTTAGTAAAATTAAGTTATCATGAAATAACAAATCTTTTTATAAAATGCAAGGTAGTTAATTGAAAAAATCTGAGAACTGCAAAACAGAACAAGCCACATCTTTCAACTCCTTATGATCAAATCAATATGTGATACTCAAATCTTCGTACATTTTTATTTTCAACTAACAAAACTTTTGTGCTCATACAAGACAACTGATTTTCAGAAATACATTTCTTTAAATTATGTTCAATACTCATACATAACATCATAACCCTAGGGCAAAACAACTCGTTTCAGAGGCTAAAATTTACAAATTTCAAATAAAAATGAATATATAAGGCGCCGAACAAGCTATTTCACATCACGCAAAATGATACATACTATGCTAACCAGTGGCAGTCACTTCCCGCGAAATATTAAAGGAGTGGCAAATTAGGTCGCCACTGTTTGTACAGTATTTTAAAATCTTAGTCCTTTGAGCTTCTTCACGGTAAATTTCGTGGAGTCTATAGCTTAAGTTTTAGCCAACGAATGCGCTTTCATGGTTGGAAAATGATTGTGTTGGATTTCACATAGGTTTTCAGCGATCATTGCACGTTTTTCAGAGAATAGTGACTTGGGTCTGTCTGTGGCCACCACTGATGTTAACTGAAAGCTATCAACCATCGGGTTTTATTTACATTTTACTTTTCCTTTAGAACTGCGAACCGCCGTTGAAATTCAATATACAATCCTATGTACACAAATATGTACCGAGCGTATCCTGTAAAATTCATATACTCGGGATAAGCTCGGTGGAAGATATCTATCATCCACTCATTTTGCTGTGATGTATAAATAACTTGTTGCGCGTTTATTCAATTCACACAGTTTCTCGTAACTAGCTAGCTATATACTATATACAATAATAGAAAAAGAATATGTGTTGAACGTGTCATTTTTTTTATGTACTTACATCCTAGCGCAGGCCTAGCCACCTATAATAGCGCGTATCCTAATAGCGCCTATCTGCGGCTGGGTGCAAATGCATAAATTAACTAAGCCCAAGCAAGCGTGGCTATGATTATTATAAACTAACGTATGACATAATTTCCACAATTGTTTAATTCGTTAAGGTAATTTTGCATATCCTGCGATCCAACGATCATGCCACGCGATCAAACAAGAACAAAACATAGATCGTGCGTTTTCAGTTTTTCAACCACGTGGTTAAAATAGTGTGAGCCCGAGTAGAAATGTTTTTAAAATCCATGGCGGTCTAAATATACGGATTATCATTCGGCCTTGACTGTTTGATTTTGACATGCTCATTGATTCCAATACGTTCTTGTTTTGGTTCTCGTTTGATCTGGGCTTAGCCTTACATGAAACTCAAAGCAAAAGTCTTGAAAAACGATCTTGAACTTAAATCCATCATCAAGGCGAAATTTTGTTTAAAATGAGAACTAGGCTCTTGGGCATCATGTTTGTAAATTTTGTCAACGCTGTTCGTTTCACTTTTACAAATAGAAGATCGTTTTAAGAGCAGTTTGCATCGAGCTCGCATGCTTACATTTGTTCACAGACGTCAACTAATTATCTAGATCTTAATGTCCGTTAACCATATTGTAAATGTCTAAAGGCCTAGTGCGGAGTTCGTATGCTTGTTGAGATGCATTATACAATACGTCTATTGGGTATAATAGCGCAGCGCTACGTTCTCGCCAAACTTTGCCTGGGACTAGCCTAAACAGGGTTTCCGACTCGTCGAGCGGGGCTAAGTGAATTAAATGCGCCTCTAGCTGATCGCTTGTGTAGCGCGCAACCTTGGCTAGAAAGAAACAAATATTGTCAGCGGTTGCTGCAGGATCGAGCAATGCGCATATGTCGCCAACGTGCGGGCGCAAAACCATCTCCTCGTCACCTAATGCGGGCGCGCCTTCGTTCTCATCAGTTATCACGACGTCGGCTTGGCCAAAAATATCTGCTGCCATTTTCCTACGCAAAGGCTCCCTAGCTGGTTGTGTCTTTTGCTGCGCTGTCGTATCGTCGTAAGTGTCTTGTTGATATCTTAGGGAATGTTTCATTAATCTAGCCAGGGACTCCCTAATCTTAAGGTCCTCGGAATCTTCTAAGGTCTTAAAGTATGTTACAATGGAATGCCGTAATGCATTTGTGGAGACACGGATACTTACTTCTCGGCCAAATAAATCTCCAAGATACTTGCACAAACTAGAACTATCCCTAAATGGTTCTCCGGTGTAGTTGAGAAAAAAGTAGGCATGCGACTTAGCCTGCAGGAGACTGGGCCTAGCTAAATTGTATTGATGCAAATAGTAGACTAATTCTCGGTCTTCTGACAGGTCCATATTAATCGGCCCAGTAGAATTGATTGTTTTGAAGTCATTCTCTATCAAAGACACAGTCGTGTCTTCCCTAAAGACGATAACATTTGTGTCCAGAAACAAACTTGCGTCAAATGGATTCTCCCCTGACTCAACAAAGACTTGTAATGTGCGTATTTCCTTAGACCTGCCCGGGTTGACCCTAATGTATGTTGCCAGCATAACGAAATCATGAAGATGCCTGGCCTTTGCTACGCCCGTTGTTTCGAAAATCTTAGCTCTTAGATTTCTAAGCGTGTCTAGAATATGGTTAAAATAAAATCTCTTCGACGCCTTTTTCATGCACAAACCTTCTTTGCCGCGCTTTGCGATCATCTTAGCTTGCCGCGACAACTGCCTTTGATAAGATCTACACGACATAACCGCCTTACAGCTATCTAATGCGCTCCAATCTTCGCGAAAGTTATATTTTATGACGTTAATAATGCAACTAAGATGTGCTGTAATTGTGTTAGGCATTAGTTTTCTAACTTTTGATAGATAATCGACATATTCACAAATTAGCGTGTCCGTGTTAAAAATATCGAGAGTCACAACTGGTACATTCCGGTGATGGATACAGAAATATAAAAAACAATATATTCTTTCGACTAATTTATCTAGAGTTTGTTTCGCGAACGCCGGGCCATTACGTTTGGGGTTCAATTCAATTGTGTAAAACTTACATAGTTCGTTCACTTCAGTGTTTACGATTTCGCCAGCCTCTTGTTTGCTTAATTTGTAGGGAGTCCTGCATCTCTTCGCTGATTGTGGCGTGGATTCATCGCCGCTGTCGTTGGTCGTACCACGACTGGAAGGAGGCGTAGGAAATTCTGCTGGGCTGACAGCGACAACTTTACACACCCGCTTTGACGAATTTGGCGTCGCAGTTTCGACTATCTCCATCTTTTGCGGCGACGAGGAAGTAACGGTCGAAGCAGCGTTCGACGTATTCAGCGATAATGTAGTTTTCGGTGTCGAAATAGCTCCGCCGTCGTCTTCTGAACTTCCGTCATCGCTATAGACAACCAGTTTGGGTTGGGGGCAAGTTGATGAACGGCGGGCGACTTTTGCACATGTTTTTTCAACTTTCTCGTTTATCAGGCGTTTCAAGTCGGTCTCTCGAATAAGGCCAAACACTGAACTTTTCAATTGAGGGTTGGCGTGTTTGAAAACACGCCTTTCGTCCAGGGTGGGGTATAGCGTTTCAATGTTAGAGTTTCTTAACCACAACCTGACGGTGCTTCTCGAAACATTTGGGAAGATTTGGTTGCACGCTTCAATAAAGCAATACAGTTTCTGTTCTCCTCGTTTAACGAAAGTCAACCGTTTCAACGTTTCCATATGCAGTCTCGCTGTGTAATCTAAAACAAGTCAGGAAAGCCGTGTTTTAATATAATTTTCGTATTAACTTTCTAAAGTACTGGGCGGAGGACTTGAAATATTCGTTCCAGCTTTTTTTTACACACAAAAAATCACGAAATCATTCAATCATTCGAGAAGTAATATTTCAAATCCTGAAAATATTCTGTAAAATTAAAATGTGTAAGTGTCAAGCATGAGAGGTGCCTTAGGATTCTCATCACCGTCCAACTGTATTTTAAGAGCCGTGTTAAAATTTTCTTATATTTTGTTATATAATATAAATGTAGCGCCCGACAAAATATTTCAAGACAGTTAAGGTATTTTATATTGGGGTTTTAGTGCCATTTTAAACTGCCAATTCAAACAAACAGAAAGTTGAAAGAAATTTCATTGCATTTTACAGGAACTTCGCATTTAGTTCAAGGAGATATGTTGGAAATGACAGAAATGTGTACTGTAATATGTTTATTTTGGTTTATGACACTTCACTACAGAACTCACAGAAATATTAAATGTTAGGAATTCTTTTTTATTTAATGAAATAAACCATCAATGTTGTAGCAACTAAACATTGTAATAATTATATAAATAATGGCCTGATAAACAAAGTTGAGGAAGAAATTTTAGCATGTGTGATGCGAGTCGGACAAAAAAAGTACAGCTTAATTACTGAGTTGTGTAGCTGTCATACACATTTAATACAGATCAACAATATAGTGAGGTCCTATAATCGAAATCATTATTTACATGCTTGATACCTACACTGTCAATTCCCACAAACTATATAAGTATATTGCAGGATTGGCAGCATCTGGTATGGAGATATATTGCCATTGCCATTGATTTTCAACCACTCCAAACATTGTCATGCAGGGCACTATACGGCTTGGTTTAAATTTAGCACTTTGCCTCAGAAACAAGTGAGAGCATTCACTGCCTCACTGATTGTGAAATTGGGCAATTGGGTCACACGTCTGAAGACCTAAACACTCTCAAATGCCTTTCAAAACCAGAAGTACAGTAATATCATTTTTTAATATTATTTTATCATTCAATATATGATATAGGATGTTGACATAGTAGGTAAGGACTATCCAATTTGTTCAAGGTATAAATCTATTATGGCAAATTTATATATTAGAATCATGTACTGTGTGTTATGCTTTCAGAATCAGTTAAGTTTATATACTCTAGTATATTGCTATTTGATGAAACCATATCTATTTAATTTATTTTGAGGAAGGTTTGAAAACTTTAATTAACTTAATCCGCGCAATTTGATCACGTCCAGGGCGAAGCCGAGGACTCCTCATTTCGATGCAGTCCAGCGACTGATATATCCCTAATTAGGGGCCCAGTTTTACTTCGTCAAATATCCAGTATTGTCCATGTAAGCAAAATAAGGCAATATGGTTGGCTAATTTACTCATGATTTATTTATTAATGACTTTGAGATGTCGAATTCAAAGGCCTCGAAAGAGGAGGTTTGCTCCAGTCCTCGGTTTCGCCTCGAAGTAAAACAAATCGTCGTACTTGAAACCCGGTCAAGCCCTGTCTCGAGACCTTTATTAATACACTTCAATTTTTTTCTATAGTAAATTCGACCTTGCCGAAATATGCACTAAATAATTTTAGCCGGGACCAGTCTCAGCACAAAACTGAAAATTTCCATAGCAGAAATAAAACCTAACCCTAACCCTAACCCTAACCTAACCCTAACCCTAACTTTCAAAATAAAGAGCTAATTTTCAATTAATCCTTAAACCCTTACTCAAACCTTGACTTAAATTACCCTAACCCTAACTTTCAAAATAAAGTGCTAATTTTGAATTAACCGGTAAACCCTTACTCAAACCTTGACTTAAATTACCCTAACCCTAACTTTCAAAATAAAGAGCTAATTTTCAATTAATCCTTAAACCCTTACTCAAACCTTGACTTAAATTACCCTAACCCTAACTTTCAAAATAAAGAGCTAATTTTCAATTAATCCTTAAACCCTTGCTCAAACCTTGACTTAAATTACCCTAACCCTAACTTTCAAAATAAAGTGCTAATTTTGAATTAACCGGTAAACCCTTACTCAAACCTTGACTTAAATTACCCTAACCCTAACTTTCAAAATAAAGAGCTAATTTTCAATTAATCCTTAAACCCTTACTCAAACCTTGACTTAAATTACCCTAACCCTAACTTTCAAAATACCCTAACCCTAACTTTCAAAATAAAGAGCTAATTTTCAATTAATCCTTAAACCCTTACTCAAACCTTCACTTAAATTACCCTAACCCTAACTTTCAAAATAAAGAGCTAATTTTCAATTAATCCTTAAACCCTTACTCAAACCTTGACTTAAATTACCCTAACCCTAACTTTCAAAATAAAGAGCTAATTTTCAATTAATTCTTAAACCCTTACTCAAACCTTCACTTAAATTACCCTAACCCAAGCCTGACAAATAATGCAAAACCTAATTCATAAAAATCAAATATAACCTTAAGGAATAATATAAATATTCAATAAATCACGATAGTTATAACACCTTGTAAGTAGATTATAATTAGCTCATATATATTCGAATCTCATGTAATTTTATCTAGTCTGAAGATGTCTTAAGTTAAAGACGAAACGTTACAATAAAAATTCTTTAAAATTTTAACTGTTCTAATGGCTTTGTTAAATGTTATACGTTGGGCTCTCATATTTATCATAAGAAATCACGATCAACTGTATTATAAGAGCAGTTCAACGTGAACAAGGACGGTGCGAATAGTAACGCTGTTGGTTATACATTCAGCAAAATATTCAATCTGCATGGTTTAGTCCAAAGTACGTGAAGGATTATATTTCAACAAAAAAGCGCCTTCAAAGCTTGAACACAAATATGTTACACTTAAAACACAATGACCCAAGGATCTGTCTCCCTATATCGGCTGTTATTTTCTAGATAATACAGATTCAAATAAAGCTAATATATAAGGGAGTCATGAGCTCCGCGGGAGTCAGGATACCTGTCCAATTTTACACGGCTTGGACGAGAAGGTATAATAATGTAGAAGTAATAACCATGTATAATATAAAGGCTCACACGCAATCATTCGTCTTACTAAACGTTTTTGTACAATCGTATTCCCTCCGCAATGTTTGGTTTGGATATATAGTACAATTTATAGCACTGTGTTTCCACAGACAAAACTATTATACATTTATAGTTTCTTTTCGTGATAAATTTAAAGCAGATGCGGTAATGTAGATGTGATAAATTTAAGGTTTGCATTGTGCCTACGGTATATATTCGGTTTATCCCTATAGTGATAAACACTTCGCGTTATGCTCAGGCGCCGGCATGCCGACTAATTCTTGCATGCACTGCGCGGTCTATTATCACGAGGAAGCGATCCCAGAAAGTACATGCACTTTCTCATCTCGCGCGCTACTTAACACGCTAAAATGGCACATAGACATGGCATTTTAATATTGTATAAAGGTACAAGTTCGCTAGTTAAAAACACTGATAAAACGAACGAACAAACTAAGTTAACGCAAATAAACATATCACTAAATAAAATGAAGTCAAACTTACGATGGATCAAGCTTTGTGTTTAGCGGAAAGCCAATGTTGGACTGTGGTTGAATTGCGAAGGTGGAGGATTTGACTGACCGACTGACTATAACGATCTTTCAATAGCTGAAAAAAAACACCAACGCTATATGGCGTTTGTCTTTTCTTCTGGTATTGAGAAACCGTTAGTCAGTTGGTCAGTCAAATCGTCGACCTTCGCAATTCAATCCACAGTCCAACCCCGCCTTTCCTCTGCTAACAAAGCTTGACCCATCGTAAGTTTAATTTCATTCCATTTCGTGATATGTTTATTTGCGTTAAGCTAGTTTGTTCGTTCGTTCGTTTTATCCGGGTTCTTAACTCGATAACTTATACTTTAGTACAATATTAAAATACCATAGATTCATAAAATTGTCGATTCTATATTAATTATATTTCAACAACACATTGCTCGTTCAAAGCTCGAAGACAAATAGGTTACACTTAAAACACAATAACCCAAGGGTTTTTTCTCCCTATATTGGCTGTTATGTTATACTCTCAGGCGCCGGCAAACTAATTCTTGGCACTGCGCGATCGACTAGCACGAGGAAGCGATTGCAGAAAATACATGCGTTTTTTCATCTCGCGCGCTACTTAGCACGCTAAAATGGCGCATCAACATGGTATTTCAATATTGTATAAAAGTATAAGTTAGCCAGCTAAGAACCCTGATAAAACGAACGAACAAACTAAGTTAACGCAAATAAGGCAACATAAAAAAATAGTTGGTTAACGTCCTCGTCCGCCCACAAAAAAGCTCATTTAAAAAACCCCAACTTTTGTTGATCAACAGGTTCTAATATATGTAGTATTTCTATTGACTGTGGTCAAATGTGTTAATAAGTTGATAAATTGCGTGCGAAAATGACGGTATGAATCATATTTGAAATACATAAAAATATCTGTAGTGCGCAAGAAAATCCAGTTTCGGACCTAAAACCAAGTCGTTATGAAGTGCATATGACATGTAATTTTTTATTTTCTTAAAATGAAAGAATTCTTTAAGCTGTAGTGTAACTTATTTTTCAGTTCCTTGTTTTTATAGTTTGTTCTCGAGATATTTCAATTTGTTTGATATGTAAATGAGTGTGAATTTGTCCGCTAATTTATGACGCCATGTTGGTTGCAAGCTCTTAAAATTGGTTGAATATCACTGCTATCATCCAAGGTGATAATTTCAAACTTCACTCACTGGTAAATGTAATGAAACACTCCAGAAAAACGTGAAAACATATCTAAAGTTTTTATAATTAATAAATTTATAAGCGGTGTAAGTAGAGCTTACAACCAACGTGACGCACATAAATTAGCGGACATATTCACACTCATTTACATATCAAACAAACTGAAATATCTCGGGAACAAACAATAAAAACAAGAAACTGAAAAATAAGTTACACCGCAGCATAAAGAGTTTTTTCGTTTAAGAAAATAAGAAATTTCATGTCATATGTACTTTAAAAATTAGTAAAAATTTAAAAAGAGCGGCAGCCCGCTCACTTTTTGGCAAAAGCTAAAGACGCTAACCAACTATTTTTGTATGTGGCCTAAACATATGACTAAATGGAATGAAATTAAACTTACGATAGATTGAGCTTTGTTTTCAGCGGAAAGCCAGCGTAGGACTGTGGATGGATTGAATTGCCACGTAGGGTGGACGATTTGACTGAGCGACTAACGGTCTCTCAATACCTAAAAAAAAAAGACAAAGGCTATAAGACATAGATTCATAAAATGGTCGATTCCTATATTAATTATATTTCAACAACACATTGCGCCTTCAGAGCTTGAAGACAGATAGGTTGCGCTTAAAACACAATGACCCAAGGGTGTGTCTCCCTATATTGGCTGTTATTTTATACTCAGGCGCCGGCAACCTAATTCATGGCACTGCGCGGTCTATTACAACGAAGAAGCGGTCGCAGAAAATACATGCATTTTCTCATCTCGCGCGTTACTTAGCACGCTAAAATGGCACATCCACATGTTATTTTAATATTGTATAAAAGTATAAGGTTATAGCGAGTTAAGAACCCTGATAAAACGAAGCGGAACAAACTAGCTTAACGCGAATAAACATATCACTAAATGGAATGAAATTTCACTTACGATGGATTGAGCTTTGTCTTCAGCGGAAAGCCAATGTTGAACTGTTGTTGAATTTCGAGGGTAGACGATTTGACTGACCAACTAACGGTCTTTCAATGCCTGAAAAAAAAGACAAACGCTATAAGACATAGATTCATAAAATGGTCGATTCCTATATTAATTATATTTCAACAACACATTGCGCCTTCAGAGCTTGAAGACAAATAGGTTACGCTTAAAACACAATGACCCAAGGGTGTGTCTCCCTATATTGGCTGTTATTTTATACTCAGGCGCCGGCAACCTAATACATGGCACTGCGCGGTGTATTACAACGAAGAAGCGGTCGCAGAAAATACATGCATTTTCTCATCTCGCGCGCTACTTAGCACGCTAAAATAGCACATCCACATGGTATTTTAATATTGTATAAAAGTATAAGGTTATAGCGAGTTAAGAACCCTGATAAAACGAAGCGAAACAAACTAGCTTAACGCGAATAAACATATCACTAAATGGAATGAAATTTCACTTACGATGGATTGAGCTTTGTCTTCAGCGGAAAGCCAGGGTTGAAGGACGTTAGTAGATGTATTAAAGCTTGTATACTATTCACCTTCTTGTCCAAGCTCTGTGAAAGTGCATCTTTATAAAGCCTCAGCACAACCAAACTGAAATGGCGCTCACTCCCCAACCCCTTTTGTAGGCACGTTAAATTAACGGTGCGCTAAATTACCTGCATTATCTCACTAATCACATTAGCGCGTCACCTTAACGGTGCGCTAAATTACCTGCATTCTTTCACTAATCACATTAGCGCGCCATCTTAACGGTGCGCTAAATTACCTGCTTTCTTTCACTAATCACAATAGCGCGCTACCTTAACGGTGCGCTAAATGACCTGCATTATTTCACTTATCACAATAGCGCGCTACCTATGGTAAAACAATTGATTAGATCTGACCCGCTGTCACACCTGATTATCAGGAAAGTTTTGAGGCCTGAAATTTCTAGGCCTTCGTTTAAAAAAGGTTTGATATATGTGCGATAAAGTGATATCTGAAAAATTATCATAAAGTCTTGAAGTCAAATCGATAGTTTGCTCAACAGAGCAATCGAATCAGTTGATTAATGACAAGCTAGAAAACATCTTGCCAAATCCTGTTGCTTTTAAGTAGCCGCGCGTTAATAATACTTTAGTATAACCTGCCAGGCAATAGAAGAAAAACAGGCTCTACAGCACAGAAAAACAACATAGCCTGCAGGCGCGTTCGATGTATTCAGTTAATCAGATTACTCTCTCCGTGCAATGCCGAATTCTATTTCGCGCATTAAAATACCATGCTAAAACTCCCGACACACCGGACACGATTCGACAACCTCCGGCGATTTTTCAATTTTTAAAATTTGACAAAACAGCCATTCGGACCAAATTTCGAAAGATTTGTAGATCAAACAACTCCAAATGATACGCCACTTCTAAATATTTGCAAAATTTAAACTCGGAACAAATTTGTCGCTCATTAAATATCGAAAAATCGCGTCCCCAGGTCGAATCGCGTCTGGTTAGTATAATTGTAATGCGTGTGGTGTGGGTAATGCATTGCACACACTGCGAGAGGTGGTCTGTCTATCTGGTCCAGGGCAGGGCTGTTTTGTAAAATATTGCAGGAGAAGGCATGCTCGAACATATGGACAAACAGATTTTTTTGCTACAAATACATAATTGTATTGTGACCAATACAATAGATAAAACGGGGGGGGATGGGATTGGCGATGGTGTGTGGGTAATGCATTGCACACACTGCGAGAGGTGGTCTGTCTATCTGGTCCAGGGCAGGGCTGTTTTGTAAAATATTGCAGGAGAAGGCATGCTCGAACATATGGACAAACAGATTTTTTTGCTACAAATACATAATTGTATTGTGACCAATACAATAGATAAAACGGGGGGGGATGGGATTGGCGATGGTGTGTGGGTAATGCATTGCACACACTGCGAGAGGTGGTCTGTCTATCTGGTCCAGGGCAGGGCTGTTTTGTCAATATTGCAGGAGAAGGCATGCTCGAACATATGGACAAACAGATTTTTTTGCTACAAATACATAATTGTATTGTTACCAATACAATAAATAAAACGGGGGGGGATGGGATTGGCGATGGTGTGTGGGTAATGCATTGCACACACTGCGAGAGGTGGTCTGTCTATCTGGTCCAGGGCAGGGCTGTTTTGTAAAATATTGCAGGAGAAGGCATGCTCGAACATATGGACAAACAGATTTTTTTGCTACAAATACATAATTGTATTGTGACCAATACAATAGATAAAACGGGGGGGGATGGGGTTGGCGATGGTGTGTGGGTAATGCATTGCACACACTGTAGTCGTATATAGATCTAATGTCAGATGGTAGGCTATTGAACAGTTCGGATGAAATGTCTTGGAAAGTAACCTTTTCCATGGGCCTAACCAAATTTAAGCTGGTACTCGAGCGTAGGATCAAATTGAGTCAGTTAAAGTAGTAATTTAATTCAAAGTTCATACCTGGGGGTCTGATTATTTCGATGATTTTTATATTAAATTGGATAATTTTTAAGTTTAACTGCTGGTAATGCGCTTGCTTATCTGCCAGCATTGATATCAAATTATATTGAAAATTTTCCTTCCATATCAATTTGAATCAGATAAAGTAGTAATTTAATTTAAAGTTCATACCTGCTGGCCTGGTGATTTCGACGAATTTTATATTAAATTTGGATAATTTCCAGGTTTTCCAGCTTGTAATGCGTTTGCAAGTTTCGATTTTCGCACTGGAATACTTTTTATCTGCGAGTATTGATGTCAAATTATATGGAGAACAACAGAGCGTGACACATCGCGGACGCCTGGGGAGAGTCCTTCTTTTGAAGGATGTAATGTAGGCTTCTATTTTTAACAGGACTCTCATTGGTCATTCTATTACAGAACTCAGTTGTGTAATAGAAAGACCAATGAGAATTGAGCATTCAAAATTCAGATCGTTCAAAAGCATTCGAATATCTGAGTCAGTTAATTGCATAGTTCGTTGGGTTACGCGAGTCAACAGGAAAATTATATCGTCGCTTTTTCTCACTTTTCGAAAACTGTTCTTTTCAGAACAACTTTATTATTGGTTTATTTCTACTGTTATTATTGGGGAAAAGTACAAGCTTTATTATTTGAAGCCTTTCCGACGCGTGTATTCGAGGGTTCTCGGCTGATAGCGTGCCGTGATGGAGGCCGGTGTTAGATACATCGACGAGGTTTTTAGGGCAGTAAGACAAAATGCTGCCAATATCAATGATGTTCAGACGCTGCAAAAGTTATTGGAAGCTGTGGGGTCATTTTACGTTTCGCTTTTTGGAACAAATGACAGATCGGAGTGTGAGTATGAATTTCTTTTTTACTCCTTACAATAATTTGCTACTGTCGGGTCTCTCAATGTTGCGTTGTTATTTCCCAAACCGAAAGGAAAAAAAGATAACATATTGCGACAAATTTTAGTTTTTCAAGTCTATTTTTTCAAAATTTGTTATAAAATAGATGAAATAGCTTAACTGTATTTAGTCTGATGATGTCGCTTGTCATGTGACGAAACGTTAATAAGTATCTTTATATATTCCGAAATATGCCTCTTTTACGAGTTATTTGCTGGGCAATAATATTTTTAACTATAATTCGTTTTCCGCCTATTTGCCTACATGATTAATATATTAACAATTTTTGGCTAACAATAAGTTGGCGAAGTATACCAGGGCAGGGGTCATCATAATTCCAAAGGATTCCCATTTTTCAAAATGGGTTGTTCTAAATGTTTAATTTTTGGTAATTCTAAAACTTAAAATGGGCAGCTCTAAAACGGAGATTAAGAGGAACGGATAAGATGATCATTCTGGAATTTTGAAATTCAAAATTTTCCCAGGATCCAATATGCCATGACAAAAATGGCTCTTTATTCAAGGGGAGTTTTTGGTGCATTGACTAATGCATGAACCTCGTCTACTGACACAGTTAGCCCGTGTTCACTACGTACCACGACATTAGAAGAGGATTTGATGTACTTTCAAACACGTTTAATAAGCTCTCAAGGCGGAATTTTACATATACATTCAATTCTGTTGAACACACAATAGCTTTACCACTTACTTCCTTAGGTGATTAAAAATAACAAGTTTTTGTTTCGTTTTTTCCCCATGTATTCCCTTACCCAATGCAAATTGTTTTCTTTATTTGCAGCAATATTCGAAAGACGCAGCATGATGAGGACCCTTGCCGAAGCACCTCAAATTCCGGTGCCAAGGCGTGCGGGAGAACCGGCCAACAGGAGCAGCCAGGAAGACGACACCCCACGACGTGGACTTGGTAAGGGAAGGCCTGGTCTGCCACGCAAGGAGGATGTCACCCGCAGGCAAAAACGAAACAGGGCGGAGAAAGAAATTGCGCCGGCGAAGCGAGCGAAGCCAACAAAAACTCCCGCCCCTTCTTCCCCTCCCCAGCAACGCCCAACGCCAAACCAGCCAAACGTCAATCCACCAAAGCAACCAGCGCCCGAGCCCCGCAGAGTGTTGAGGCTGCAAACGATCACGGCGAGTGGAACGAAACGCGAAATGGCCATCCAGCGTTTGGGCGAAGGTGAAAAAGACCGCCCACCAACACACAAAGAGCTGTTCCTGTTCTTTCAGGAAATGAACGAGTGGAAACGCCTGGACGAGCGCCTTGTCGCCCCAATGCAGGAGATTCAGGCCGAGTCTGTACGTATGGCTGAAGACGATGAGATGTCCGTGATAGTCACGCAAATGCTTCGGCTTGCTGGCTTATCCAACGGCGTTGCCAACTGTTCACGCCATACAATTGGATGCATGGTGCGTGCTGTGCACGAGAGACACGTCGACGACGACGGCAACGAGGAACGCAGGATCGGCGCCACGCTCGACCAGCTGCAAGACGACCTCGAGGCCATGCAGTATGATGTCTACGTAAAATCGCTGGAGGATTGTGGGTGCGACGAATGCACTGCATGCGTCGAATTCGACAAGGCCTACAATGCGTGAGTACATTAAGTAGGAACTAGAAATACATGTCGCGGTGTTAAACACCATCATTTTATTGTTTAATATGTTTTCAAAATCGAAGAAGCCTCCAAAATCATCACTTTTAATTATTACAAAATTATCAATTTCCCAAAATTGTATGTTCAGTATGTTATTATGCGTAACATGACACGAAACAGTTTATTTTCTGGATGCGATTACCTGCTAAAGCAATGAAGAAAATCATTTTAATTACTTAGCTTGCTTCGTTTACATTTTATTATAACAACTGATGACGTCGTTTTGTTTGCAAAACAAAGAAACTTAAATCGTAAAGCGATTTTTCGTTGCAATCAGTAGCAGTAAATGAAACTTTTTGTCTATTATTGTCATTCAAAGTTACTTCAGCAGCGTGGTTTATTGGATGCTTGCAATTATGTTGAACTTACAAATTACGTCACCATTTCAAGTCTTAAAATGTTAAAATCTCAGAAACAAAATAGCCTGTGAACAGACGTTACTCTCGATAAAGCGCGCGAGAGAACGTCTGTGAGTTGGATTCCTTTTTCCGGTCACGTGGATTTTCCACAGATTTGTGAAAAGGCCTCTATTTGGACAGTGCTTTTTTTTAATAATATATGACAAATGAAGATATTTCATTGGTTAATTGATACTCAGGGTTCGTTTAAAATAAAAACACAAAAATATATGCTTGAAGGAAATATGGATTCTTGAAGAAATTTCCCAAGGAAGTCTCTGAATTTAAGACTTTCGTGTTTTTATTTTAAACGCATGCCAATTCAATTTACAAATGAAATGTATTCATTTGTCGTATGTTACTCAAATAAAGCACTGTACAGTCACAATCAACAAATCCGTGGAAAATCCACGTGACCAGAACAAGAAATCTTCATCCAACTCACAGACGTTCTCTTGCGCGCTTTGTAAAGAGTAGCGTCTGTTCAAAGGCTAAAACAAAATAGAATATTAAAAAATAGTGAATGACATTTGATATAAGTCATGTATGTAGACAATAAGATTCCGCAAATAAAAATTTTCATGTCATGTCATGTCATGTTATGTCATATCATGTAAAATTCAAACACAAGCGCTTCGAATAACGTTTTAAAAAAATAGTACCCTCACCCCTGGCTAACGCCGGAACAACAAAAATTAATTAGGAACAAAACAAAATTAATTAGGAACGAAACAAAAATTGACTAGCAATAGAAACAAATGTTTTCTGCCGCTTCATCGACTAGGTTTACAGAGCAGTAATATGCCGAGAATGTTGAGAATGTTCACCGTGTGTCTATATAATAGCAATGTGCTAAATATTCTGTATTTTCCCCAGATTTTACGATCAACTCGAAGAGGACGAGGCGAACAGCGACGACTCGCAAACACCCCCTCCGACGTTCGAGGATCGCCCGCTCCATTGCGTGGACAACGAGATGAAAGCTATTAACATCAAGTCAAAGTTCGCCGGGTTGAGTTCATCGTCGCTCGAGAATGCGTACCACTTTGCACAGTCGACCGCCCCCATGACCCCACCCACGCTTTCGACAGCCGCGCCAACGGCCGTGATGGGATCCACAACGAAATACATGTCGCCATACCTGCGCAACAGGAGGCTTGACGATCCTCTCCCAAAGTGCTGGAAGACTAACAAGCCCGGGCCACCAGATGGACGAATGGTCAAAGTGAACAAGAATTGCGTTCACTTTTATGACGGAGACTCCTGCGACATTTTCATGAACGACAAAAGTCATCAACGTTTGCTTACCCTCGCGGAGCCAAAACGCAAGATCTCGGTACGCACCTTAGGCAACGATGCCCCAGAAATGGCATTTGCGGTTCGTTTCTACAAGCAGGCAGAAAGTAGTACGAAAATGCATGCCGTTTTGACAAGACATATAGGTGTGGAGTCGCTGCGGGCAGTACGCCAGATGGTTTTCGAGAGTAAACAGGTATAAAATATATAGCACATATATAGCACATATACGTAGTTTTTATCTCAAAAGGTCAATTCAGTCGGTCAGTCGGGTCAGTCACATTAATATTTATACCTGTTTTCCATGAATCCGTGTCTATCGAATGCCACTACAGCTTGTTTCATCCAAGAGGAATCACCAGGGTGGTCTCCTGACAATTCCTCTTGGAAGAAACAGGTAGGTTATATAAAAAAAAGTTAGAAAAGCAGTTCTTTTCCTCTATAGAATTGAGATCGGGGGTCTCGTGCATTTTGCGTGTACGTGTGGCTTCTCCCTGTCGTAGATTGACATATACGACAGAAAGAAGCTACACACATACGCAGGATAAGAGCCACGATCAAATTTAAAGAGGAAAGCAATGAACTAGCAGCCTATTCGTTCAATAAGCTGATAGCAAACTCGACAAACGTATCATTTCTTCAGCCAGTTTGCATTAAATTTTAGTAACTATCCATTTTCACTGTGTACTCTAAGTATTCTAAATAAATTGTTTCTCTCTTTATTTTTCTCTTTCCTTCTTCGCAGATCTATCTGGAATGTGATACGGCCGATGACGGAACGCCATTCGTGCCTTATGATCGCTATCAACGTGCCCTCGTGAACATATGGCTTGAGAACAACCAAGGTGTCTTGGAAAACCTCGCCGTAAAACTGGCGTCGGCCGGATATACGATGTCGTTTTACGTGAAGGGGATAAGTCAACTAATCGACGAAGCCATGCGGGAAGCGATAAAGCACAAAGCGGGCATGTTCAATTTGCCCGAAGAAGTTTTCCTTCACCCCTTTCGTCCGTGGGATCTACGCAAGCGCTGGACTGATTTGGGCTCTTGCCCAGTCGACTACAAAGCCTTCGCGCAAATCACCAACGCCCCACAACACCCGGAGAGCGCGTGGAAAGAGGGCCAAGCAAGCGTCGTAGACGAAGAGCGAGAGTTGGAAGACGGTAAAGAAACAGCCGTATACCACTTCCGAATGGTCGAATCATCCATGCGCTTCGAAAGCCTGTGCTATAAGGCCCCAAGCACAATACCCGGAGCAGGATTTGGCCTCTTCCTGCGACCCCATGCCACCATCGCAGAAGGGACACACCTATGCATGTACGCCAACAGACCAGCCACACGCGAGGAGCTCTTTCAAAGCTCAAGAGATTATACACTAATGTCCAGCACAGGGAAGTGGTACGATGCTGAGATCGAAACCGGAAACAATCTCGGGCGATTTGCCAATATGCCACTGGTGAAAGAATCGCTGAATAAAGTCGTCCAGCTATCGAAGAAAACCACGCACACAGAGTTCAACGAGCACCAGTGGAAGGAAATGGAAGACGATATACTAAAAGAGTGCGACGCCACGTATAAAGTAGAGAAGAACCAGCTAGTCGTCGTTGCCAGACGAGAGATCGAAGCGAGCAACGTTGCACACGAGGTGTTTGCATCATACGGGTCGCTGCGGGAATACTGGCTGAAGGGCATCCACGAATCGCCAGAGAACTACCCATCATACATGGTGGAAACTGTTCGATGGCTGTTGACGTCACCTGAGTGCAACTGGAGCGAGGCACAGCGGCAACACTGGGTAAGGGAATAGCTAAGAAACTCTCCTCAAAGTAGGCTGAAGCGGTTATAAAATACAACCATAATAAAATAACAGACTTACTGAGTCTAGTTCTGTTTGCGCTACATTTGACAAAATCATGATGGCATGGAAGGAATCTATCTAGGCTGTGCTGGTAATGATAAAATTGTCAATCCACATAACTTTATGCTTGCATGTACTTGGTGTTTCTGTAAGCCAAAACGTATACGACAGATAACCATGCAAAACTGCATAGAATTTAGACTCAGCTCCTTTACCATATCAGCCTACTTTAACGAGAGCATTTCCTCTAACCCTAACTTATTTACTATATAGTTGACTATCCTTTGGTTGCAACTGTTCCGTTCTCCGTTACGAAGCTATTTCAGATAGAGCTGCACCCATCGGTTCATTTTCGTAATCGATTAACCGTTCTCAACAATCGATTGATATCGATCAATCGTTTTGATTAAATAATTGAAATATATAATATTTAATCACTAGCAAAAAAAATCAAAACAGGTTGCCCATCTTGTCGCAATTTTTTTCCAATTCCGGAAAGAAACTCATTCCGGTATCACGCTGGCTGGTATGTTATCGATTAAATCAATTGCAGAAAAAATAGTTTTGGAAAAAGAATCGACTAATCGGGAGCAGCTCAAATTTCAGGCTTGTGCATATAGGCTCAGAGCTAACTAACCTGACCGCACGTCAGAATGTGATAAAGTGAGAACAATTTCCACCAAAGAACAGTCAACTCTGTTCCATCTTAATGGATAATCACTTCCGATACGCAAAAATTATTCAAAGTTAATTTTTACGCATGTGTGCATCTCAGGAACGAAGCAGGACATAAACATGAGTAAAGATTAACAATGAGCAATTTTCAAATGACTTTGAAATGTGATTTAAATAAGCATTACCACATTTAACATTGAATGGCTGCAGTGCTCAGCTCCCAACAGCGTGCGACAACACAGATTTCCAATTTTTCGCATGTTCCAACTTTTTCTTCACAGCAGTGCGCCATCATAATACCAAGGACTGCTTTAGACAAATGATAAATGCATAATTAATGCAAACAATGTCGATAAGATTAAATGTTTTGTTCGCATCTCGTACAAATGAATCGCAGGTCCGCAGGTTAGATTCCTGCATGCCGGGGACCTATAGTGGCGTTTTTCGCAGCTGTTCCTGGTTAGGTCTAATAAACGTATACAAGATTTTCCACTCGATCATTTCAACATTGTCGATCGATGATGCAAGTATTCATCCACTCCATTTACCTAATTACAATTTCGAATATGAGGATTTGAAATCCCGTCTAGTCCGAAAATTTGGATGTCAATTGACATCTCAATACATCCTTTTGATAATTACGTCACAACTACACTGTTTTCAACCTCGAACAATCTTAAATGGAAAGGATTTCAAGTTGTTGCGCCAAGTTATAAGCTGAAGCCTCGTTTTCGTGTTAAAGCTCATTTTCACATTTATTGGTTAAAATAAATAATTCTTTTTCATGCATGTGTTGAAGAACGATGTTCTGCTTTTCTGTGCAAAGCCCATGAGAAAAAATAACTTGAAATCATTTCCAATTAAGATTGTCCTAAATTGAAAACGCTGTAGTTGTGACGGAATTTAATTAATTTTATATCCAGTCTTTGGACTGAATCAATACTTAGGTATCCAGTACCATCATATGAGCAAAATAAAGTAACATGGTTGGCCTTGCAGCCTAAAAATATTTCTATTGTTGTGCCAAAATATTAAATTGTCACATAAATTAAACCCAAAACTTGTAGAATATTCAAGCTGCGGGAAATTTGGTGTTACGTACCACACACCTATGTGTAAAGGAAACAATCCAATGCACCATTGGTACAAATCACCATATGCATACAATTCCATTCATATTCATACCTAGATGCCAGAAACATATAGGTTTCTAAAAAATAAAATGAAACAAGTCACATCAAGCTGTAACAGATTGTTTTGATTCACTCATTCTCAAATTTCCTTAATAATTCATAAGCAATTCAGCCAATGGCCGTCCTGACCGCGTAGCTCAGTTGGAAGAGCATTGGGCTAGTATTTCAAAGGTCGTAGGTTCGAATCCCACCGTGGCCGGGCATATTTTTCAAGCTCGCCCGGTGTGGATATGCACTCAGAGTAACATCGCAAACATATTATTCACCTGAGTACACAACACCAACACAGAAAAATTCATATTACTAGAACACATTGGTATTGAAGGAACTAGATACTGTTCCGAAATATCACTTACTCGAACCGTCCTGACCGCGTAGCTCAGTTGGAAGAGCATTGGGCTAGTATTCCAAAGGTCGTAGGTTCGAATCCCACCGTGGCCGGGCATATTTTTCAAGCTCGCCCGGTGTGGATATGCACTCAGAGTAACATCGCAAACATATTATTCACCTGAGTACACAACACCAACACAGAAAAATTCATATTACTAGAACACATTGGTATTGAAGGAACTAGATACTGTTCCGAAATATCACTTACTCGAACCGTCCTGACCGCGTAGCTCAGTTGGAAGAGCATTGGGCTAGTATTCCAAAGGTCGTAGGTTCGAATCCCACCGTGGCCGGGCATATTTTTCAAGCTCGCCCGGTGTGGATATGCACTCAGAGTAACATCGCAAACATATTATTCACCTGAGTACACAACACCAACACAGAAAAATTCAATGATAATTGATAATGTTCAAGATATAAAAATGCGAAATTTGTAATATTTTTTCCGCCATGATAACATTTTCTTAAAATCGTGAATAATTCAAAATACTAAAAGACATCATATTGTGAAATAAAAAATGGGGGTAAACCAATATGATCTCCAAGACGCTGGCAAAATAATGTCAAGTTATTTATAATTACTTATGTATCAGTAGCCAAATGCATAATCGAGTTTGGCCGATTGCTATATGCTTCCTTGTAAGATGCCTGAAACATGCAGATATTTTGTTATATTGTTATTAAAACATTTTGAATTCAAAATACTGTATAATGTGCAGACTCCCATTGCACTGTTGCTGCATGTCAATATTTGAAATTAATCAATGTATAAAAATACTTGAAATTTATCAATGTATAATAATTAGGTAAGAAACTGAAGAGGACACTTTGAATATTGTAATATTTAAAAAACACCTGATGTAAATCTATGTAAATACTCTTATTGGTTCTTCTTGTTCGATACTCAGTATGTTGGTTGCTGTCTTTGCACTGCGTGTTCCAAGTTGTTGCAACAAGTTTGGAACAAGCTCTTAACAACTTGCAACAAGCTTGATGGCATTATCACGCTTGTCACAATGTTGTTGTAACAAGTATGATACAGTCATGAAATGTTACAAGGTTGATGACACGAGGCCATAACAACAGGCCTAGAAAATATATTTCTCTTCCTGGCAGCAAAATCCAAAAATAAAAATTTCCTAAAAACTTCCTGCTCATGTGGATTTCAGATAACGTATGGCGCCGCACATTGTGATAAGCAATTGTGGTGGACAATCTTCACTTGCAAAACACTTTTGTAAACAATAAGTATATTATAAATGGCATTCCAGTATATAAGATGATAAAACTCGTGCACAATGTAAGAAAATTTCCGGCAAAGATATGTTGTCTAAAATTCTCCATCACCACGTAACAACATTGTTATATGCTATCTCATGACTGTATCCGACTTGTCGGAAAAACCTTGCAACAAGTGTGATAATATCAAAAAGTTCATTAAAAATTGTTAACAGCTTGTCCCAAACTTGTTGATGTAAAAAAATAAAATTTACAAACACTTACCATTTTGAATTATTATATGTGTTTTCATGCAGATGCTCAGGTCAAATTAGCTTGGAAAAGAAGTATAGGCCTGCATGGATTACAAATCTTCACCTCTAGAAATAAATAAATACATGAGATCACACACAATATATATATATATATATATATATATATATATATATATATATATATATACTAATATTTTGCAGGGGCTATGTATTTATCATGGGGTGTGTAAATGCATATTGGGGTTATCCAATGCAATTCGTACAGCACGCTGGTGCCAAAACATCACCGGACTGCTATGCATAGCCTGTGTGGCAATATGTCATGAGCTGGCAGCATGAGTTTATCGCATCTTACCTTGTGCAGAAATTTGTGAAAAAAACAGATATAATCGGCAGTGGACAACATAATTTTGGTAAGGTTTCCAGACGCTTTGAAAAGGTGTCCAAGGCTTTCCTAAAGGAAGGAATGGAAGGAATTGCAACACAAATTATCAATAAGGCTCCAAGCCCAGTGAAGCATCATCTCTGAAATTAATAGATTAAATTAAGATTTTAATTATATCTATTTAAAATCTTAGTAATGGCTTGGTGCCAGCATGCTCTACAAATAGAATCATATTATAATATTAAAATCTTAGTTTGATATTTTAATGTCAGAGATCATACATACTTCACAAAGCCTACCCCCCCCCCCTATGAAAAATACATGGCCCCTGCAAGGTGCCAAAGATAGATAGATAGATATATATATATATATATATATATATATATATATATATATATATATATACAATATATATATATATATATATATATATATATATATATATATATATATATATATATATATATATATATATATATATATATATATATATAAAAGGTTGCCACAACAGACTGTTTCATCCTCAAATGACGACTGAAAAACAGTTAAGGAAATTTGGCTTAAGCCCTTAGTTTGGTTATGCCATTATTGTGATGTAATTATTTGGAAAGCCAACATTTGGTAAAATTTTTCTTAACCCATTGAGTGGCGATGCAGCCTACATTAGTACTTTACTCTGTCTAACGCCAGAAGGGGAGAGCGCTGGCGCTTAATGGGTTAATTTAGTAAAATGTAAACAAAATTTTGGTAATGACTCCTGAATAAATCTGGTCAAAGGCCTAGTCGATTTCACAAGTTCTCAAATTAGCCCCATAACTCTGTGGTCAGAAACCAACAACTAAATCAATTTATACTGTCCAGTAGTTATTACATCAACTATAAAAACATTTTATGACTAAACTGAGCTATTATTAGTTTATAAATGTCTCATTAAATTCACCAAAGTTCCAACAATCTTGTACACTGATCAGCACTCGAAATAATTATTTCATTCGTGAGACAATCTACTGTTTTGCTTTTAATAACTATATTTGTGAATTGGAAATGAGGATTTTGACATTATTGTTCAAATATTATGGATATGCCATTTGTAAATGTTTAACATTGTACAGGCTAATAAATAATATATGTATTGTATATGTGTTTGTATATTTTACAAACACAAGGCTGCTTCCTAATTCCCAAAATTAAGAGAATAATAATAATTATATACGGTATATAATTGTAAGACAAAATTTCAATAACTATTTCTGGTATATATTTTGACTTGTTTTGTGCTTTCGGCTTATATACAAATAAAAATAGTAAGTTTATACTATAAATTAGTTCTTCCTCCCTGTATCAATTTAAATTCGCTGTTAAGCTGCAAATAATTCAGTTTGATAATGAAAGAATTCGGCATATTCAAGTGGGGCAAATTCAGAGCTGTTTTTGGCATTAAAATTGGGAAATCTGCTAGCTAGGCGGTCTATTTTTTCACTTTCGCCTTTCCTCCACCCCGCCCCCAAATTACGGGAATATATATATATATATATATATATATATATATATATATATATATATATATATATATATATATATATATATATATATATATATATATATATATATATATA